AGGTCTGGAAACATTTTTTGTTTTAGTTAATTACCTAATATCTAATACAACAAGGGAGCTCATTAAACAAAAAGCAAAGAAAAGAGAAAAGGTGTCAGTGAAACCTAATTAACAAGCAAGATACCAATTAACACATTCCATTTCAAGACCTGATCTATTTCTTTTTCTTTTTTTTCCAGATCAGAGGAAAACTAAAACTTCAGCTGGTTAAACTTTTGAATGTTTATTCATATAATTGCTTTTTATCAGACAATTTACATAACAATAAAACTTTCTGCCTTCCTTTTAACTTACAATCACAATCTGTAAACTTTTGGTATCACAAAACGTATGTAAAGTATTGACGGATGAACTTTACATTAAAATAAGCAAAGATTGATTTATTAAAATGCAGGTAAAAATGTCTTTGTGTAATATGATTTTGCACTTTTTGAAGCATGCAAGATAAGTACACGTGAGTTATTGTATATAATACAAGCAGCTTTATAAAATACAGCAGCTGGTAATTATAAACTCAAGTAAAATGCAAGGTAACTTGCATTAGCTGATCTAATTTTTTTTAATAAAGTGAATAATGCTATAACATATGTCCAAGGTGTTGCACAACAGTGTTTCTAAAATGCAGAATAGTATAGTAATATACTATTACTAATAATAGTAAAACGATATTCCGTATAAGTATACACTCTTTTACAGGGGATCTATTTAAGTGGGCTCAACCATCTCCTTCTCTGTTGGCCAAATTACATCTTTCTCGCTAATCAAGAAATCTCTCATCTGCTACATAACAAGTAGTGCAAATTAGCTTTGAATTCACAATTTCAACATCTATTTTTCTCTTTCTTCTAGTAATGCATTGTCTTCTTCTGGCACTGCTTTCTATCACAGCCACAACATTTTTCTGTTGATGATAAAGATAATGTTGGAATAAAATTTGTCAGTGTCACTCCCACCGCCATTTTCCCTTGAAAATAAGGATGCTGACATGTCTAGCAGTAGTCAACAGTAGTATTAAGTCTGTCCAAAATATATTGTACATATAACTTTGTGAGAAAACTAGTATCTGTCTGGATGATTTAGACCAGCCTTCACAACCAGGTTTCAATGGTTCCCTAACTATTGACAATAATAACTTTTTAAATATATAAGGGGGAGATTATTTTCAATGACCACAAATATAAGAAGCATTCTTTCCATTGAACGATTGCATTGTGAGTTTTAGATGCAGTGATTATTAGCAGGATTCCCTGAGACCAGAAAGTTATTTTAAAGTGGTAATAAACCCCAAAACAAAAATGTAATATATTGCAACTTACAACTTCTTAGATTTCTTATATTCACCTAGTGATCTGGCACGTCAGACCAAGCTGTCCAGAAAAAGTGGCAGTTAGAGTGCTGAAACCAATTAACATTGACAGGGGTGCTTACAATGCTCATCCTTTTTTATTTATATAAAACCTTTATCCCAGAAGGCAAAACAACTATTGTTCTAACTTCCTAAAATGTGTTAGCTGGAGTTTGGCTTTAATTTTTTAGTCAAGTCCATCTTAATCTGCTGCCTTCTCCCTAAAATGACAGCATTGCTGTCCACAAATGCCTGTATTTTGCTCTTATCTAGAGGGGAGACACTCTACGAAGGGAAGTGTGTTACTGGCCAGGTTACCAGGTGAAAATAAAGGAAAAAGCCTAAAAAAGAAACCTAATGCAGCCATCGCATTTAACAATTGATAAACTGCATTAATTAAAAATGTCTGTTTTTTATGTTTCATACCGATTTAAGGGTTTCTCCATGTTAAAAAGATTGAGAAAGGCTAATTTCGAAAATGTAGTTAATTGCAAACAGTAAAAAACACTGCCAGTACCAGAATATTTACTGTAAATTTACATGAATTCATCACTCTATGATAAACACTGTATATCAATGATTAGATAGATTCTATAAAAGTCCCACTGTTGATTCCAAGGGGATGCGGGTTTCAGCAGATGAAATCAGATAAGGAATCTAATGTTTATTTGCAAAAATCCATTTAAAGCTTAGATGTAAAACAAAGACTTGCATCTAATAATTCCCATAATATTGTTTGATGAATTAATACTATCTCTTGCAATATAAAAGACAGAGAGGATCATTTAGATGGTACAAAGGAGCCATATCATGACTGTAAAGCTACTCCAAACTCAAGCTTTTTCTCTGATCTTATTAAAACAATTATGATTATTATTTCTTTTCATGTATAATTATTATGGTGTGAAAGAGATCACAATCTTTAAATTATTTTCTTTTTTTACAAAAACCTTATTGTGTGTTCAAAATAAAATTAGAGTACTTTAGTCTAGGTAAGTGGTGAACTAAGGCAAATATCAGGTAATGCAATTTAATTAAGGCACCTTGATAGAACTTCATTTTATGTAACCAAATGTCTCTGGGCTATCTTTTCACTGCAGTAAAATGTGTAAAAAAGAAATCCTGGTTCTCAGATTTTAATAGGCATTTTTAACACTTCTTAATTGGTGACTGAGAAACTTATTAACAGGTGAGGTATCATTCGGAATAAATTGTAAATGATCACAGCTTAAAGTCTGTTAATGAATTCATTGTGGAATACAAAATGGTTGGTGAAAAAAAGAAAACTTTTGAATGATTAAATGTAAATCTCACCAGAGTATTATTATGATTTATATGAAGTATTTTAAATTGATGTGAATCTTTCATCTGTGGTTACCATGCACATTAGATGATAGACATTATAAAACAAATTTAGCATTACATATTTTTTCAAATGTAATCCACATAAAACTGCTCATTTGGTGTTGGCTGGTAAGGTCACCAATGTATGTATCACTAATGGTAAACCATTCTATGCAGGTATTAAAAAGCAAGGCATTGACAAAAAAGTGACAAGCAATAAGAATGATTGGAATTGTTTCTATAATATTGAATTAACCATGAAATTGCCTATTTACTTTAAGTAGAAGCTCGCAGATTGTATCATTATACTGCTTAGGTGAAATGTGCTTGGGAAAAATAACCACTTTTTCTGATTCATCTTTAAAAATGTTTTTCAGATTTATTTATAGAATTTATTTTTTGTGTATTTGATCACAGTTGGTTTACATTATCTTAAATGTTTTTATTTTTTATTCACTGAAAAGAAAACAAATTGAGGATAAGAAGAGACATTTTGAAACCAAATTAGGTTCATAATAGTTGAAAAGTTCTGCCTTAACTCAGGAGCCATTTATTGACCTACATTGATAATGCATTTTGGCAAAATGATGACATTTCTTTATTATTGATTATATATTTTGGGTATAATGAAAACTCTAAAATTCATTCATCCCTAACAGATAATACAAGATACCAGATTTCAGCATCGCACAAAGTTGTAATAGCTATGGGGATGCAGTAGGAGGAACAAGGGTCTCTCATCTAGTGTTGTAAATGATGATAGACCAGCCTCTGTGGTAGCTGTAAAGCACATTGCAGGATTAGAACATAAACTTTGACCAGTGACTCAAAGTACAATTAAAAATAATACTGTAAAATACTTTGCTTAACACCGACAAGTTAATGCATACACTGCTATGCAGAGATTTTAGGGTTGACTGGCTTAGCCAAGTAATGTTGGTTTACCTATAAAGATTTAATGCAACCAAAGTTATTTTTTATCCTGACTTGTCTTCAAACCCAAAAAAAACACATCACTACTATGAATAATTGAATCTGTTTGGGTTATAATTTTTCCATTTTTAGACCATTTTAAAGGATAAGTTCACCTTTTGACAAAAATAATAAATGCACTTTTGTTTGCAGGTAAAACAATGTGCATTTATTATTTTTGTCTGCAGGAGCCTAGAAAGCATTGCACCAGTGATCAGTAGAGTAGGTCTCCTGCAGACCTGTCAGAATATCTGCTTGCTGTACGAGCAAGCAGATATTCTGACAGGAAGCTTCAATGAGCCACCACGGAGTTCCAGCTCTGTGGAAGTGAGTTCTTCTCCCGAAATGCATCAGAAATTCCTAACGGGTACTTTTGGAATAGGACCCCAATGTCTGGGACTGAACAGTCTAGCTCTATGTCTGTTTTTATGGTTAGCTTTTGAGTATCCATTTGTGATCTATGTTTTAAAAAATCTGTCATCACGGTAATGCACGAGGAGAGTGCTCCCTCTTGTGTTTTTTCTTGATCTGAGAGACAATAGCCACAAATATTTTTCCAGTGCACAAGCACTGGAAAAGGTCACAAACTTGAATGGACAGTAAATATTGTGCAGTGGCTGGACAGTATGTAACCACTTAGTTCAGTTCAAAATGTAACAGGAAGAGACACGGAAGGTTTTATCTTGAAATAAACTTACGTTAAGTGTATTATTTGAGAGAAAATAGCCACAAATATTGTTCAGTGGCTGGACACTATAGGCAGTTTGGTTTGTCTGAAATGTAGGAGGTAGTAATGAAGCAGGTTGTTTCTTAAAATAAACATTAACCACTAGCCTACAGGGCACTTATACCCTCTTCCTGCCCAGGCCAATTTCCAGCTTTCAGCGCTGTCACACTTTGAATGACAATTGCGCGGTCATGCCACACTGTACCCATATGAAATTTTTATCATTTTTTTATGACAGATAGAGATTTATTTTGGTGGTATTTAATCACCTCTGGGTTATTTATTTTTTCTTAAACAAACCAAAAACCACAGAAAATTTTGAAAAAAAAAAGTTTTTGTTATTAAATGTTTGTAAATAAGTGATTTTTCTCCTTCACTGATGTGCGCTAATGAGGCTACATTGATGGGCACTGATAGGCTGCACTTATGGACACTGATAGGTGGCACTGAAGAGGAGGCACAGGTAGGTGGCATTGATGGGCATTGACAGGCATCACTGATGAACACTGAAAGGCAGCACTCGTATATGGCACTGACAGGTGGCACTGATAGGTGGCACTGACTGGCACTGATAGGCGGCACTGACTGGCACTGATAGGTGGCATTGATTGGCACTGATAGTTGGCATTGATTGGCAGCACTCCTAGGTGACACTGACTGGCATTGATAGGTGGCACTGACTGGCACTGATGGGTGACACTGAAAGGCAGCTCAGATGGGCACTGATATGTGGTATAGATGTACAATGGTAGGCACTGATATGTGGCATTGATGTGGCACTGAAGGGCACTGGCAGGTGACATGGATGAGCACTGACAGCTGGCACTGATGGACACTGACAGGTGGCACTGCTGGGGCTACACAGATCATCAGGGCACACTGATCATCAATGCCCTGATGATCAGTGTAAATATCCCCTCAGAGGGATTCCGATTACCGGCTCTACTCTCCTCTCCTCTCGAGCTATCAGCATGACAGCTCGTGAGGAGAGAAATGCCGATAAGCGGCATTTCCCTATTTACATGCGATCAGCTGTGATTGGACACAGCTGATCACATGAGCAAGCATCTTTGGCTCTTTCCGTTGATCGGTGATCCGCTGTGTCCTAGGGACACAGCGCACCACCAATCGCCACGCTGCGCACTCCTGGAGCCTGGTTAGAATGGGAGGATGTCATATGACGTCCTCCCAGAATGAGAGAACTGCCTTGCACCCGTCATTGTACTATATGGCGGGCGGGAGGTGGCTAAAGTATATTATTTGAGAGACAATTGACACAAATATTGTTCACCACTGGACACTATGTAAGCAAAATGGTTAGGCTGAAGAGGTAGGTGAATAGGTAGGTTTATGTTGAAATAAACACTATAGTGTATTATCTGAGAGACAACCGGGGGGAGGGGTAGCAGCTAGAGTTGTTGCTGACAAAAACAAATAGGTAATCCAGAATGAGACTGTTGGGTCTCTTATACAAGTATATGTAGCCCTCCACACTGAAATTCACAGAAATTTAGCACAATATAGCAAAGTATAGCCAGCTGTCTCTAAACTATCTAAACAACATTTACAACATACACTGCTAGTAACCCACCCTTTAGTGAGTTTACTGTCACATAACAAACCTCTATTAGATGAATGGAAAAACATTTATATCAAATTGAAATTAATGCCTGCAGTGCAAAGTTTTGTGCCAATGTTTTGAGAAGGACTGTTTTATCATATTAAATGGCTCCCACAATTGTCACTGTTCAATCATAAATTCCTAGTGTGTCAGGCTTATATTTGGGGAGGGGGTGTCATGCTTGTTCCAGTGGCCTAAAAGGTAGTGCAGCCAGGAATAATATTACAAATTTAATGTCTGCACCTTTAAAAATCAAGTCAGCATTAGCAACACAAATATTTCTATTATTTTATTTTAGAATGAATTCCCTGCATATGTTATGATGGATGATCCAGTGCAACATTATATGAAGGAGGATATCCACACCAAGACAAGAATTTATTAATACGAGCGCTGGAGATGCATGAATTACCTGATCAGTATTTTATAGACTACACTGCTTTTCCGCCACCCAAAAAAAAATACTTTGAAAATTTACATTTTTGTCAAAGTCAATACATTTTATGACAAAGGAAATTCTTAATTTAGATATTTTCAGTAATGTCATCTATTTGTCTCTAATTGACTAATATATTTCAGGTTACCAACCCTCGGATATAGTGGCTACATTTGTTTTCTTCTTTAATTTTTTTCAGTTTATTTTCATCTGGTGATCCTGATTCGATTTGTAAATAGATTTTAAAATAAGACAGTTTACATTCTTACTGTCCAAGGTTCAGTTCAAGGTTCAGTTTTTGGACCCACAGTTTTTAAAATCACAAAAAAGACACTGATCCAAACCTCTGCTATCCTTTCTTTAGTCTCTTGTATGCCAAGTATTGGTTTAGGGACTCCCTCTTGGAGCATCACTGAGTAAAAGAAACCTGAATCCAAATAAAAAGATAAACCTTAAAAAGATAACTCAGTGTTGAGGGAAAAGGAGAGAGGGGTGTGTTTATGTGTGTGGGGGGTGAAACAAGTCAGGAGGAACAGATCTCAGGTGGGGACTCTCAGCATGTTGTGCCCTGAATAAAATGTTGAATGAAGAATTACATCCTCAAATAGAAGCCTGTTGTTTGACTCCATTTTGAGACTATTTTTCCCTAAATAGTTTATCCTATTTTTAATTGATATTATTATTATTATTATTACTACGAGTTTTATATAGCGCCAAAGGGTTTGCTCAGCGCTGTACAATAGGGGGGGACAATACATGGCACAATACAACAAAGACAGACAGCGTACGAGGGGTAAGAGGGCCCTACTCTTACGAGCTTACAATCTAGGAGGGAGGGGGTAAAGGTACAGTAGGAAGTGGCTGGGGGGGATGAAGTGGTAGGAGGAATGAGGGAGGATGGCCGTTAGGTGAGGGTGGGGTAGGCTTCCCTGAAGAGATGGGTTTTGAGGGAGCGCCTGAATGTGAATAGAGAAAGGCGACAGTCTGATGGATTGGGATATAGAGTTTGATATAGAGTTTGGTATCCAAAGTACAATTTCTGTGTTTGCACCTGACATAAGACTATACAGTGGAATACAGTCTTGGACTGATCTCTCTTACTTACAAGCTGACCTAGATTTTTTTTCATCAGACCATTGGATCCACTGTGGATTTAGGCTTTTGAACCTATGAACTTGTGTTTCTTTAAGCTCACACCACCCTGACATATATGTCTAAGCAGCAACACAATAAAACTGTCCTTGGCATATATATTTATTTTCTTTTTTAAGGAATGAGCATATATTTTCCACCACATCAGCCATATGACTGTGCCAAATATATTTTTTATTTACCAACAATTTTATTAAGGCAAGTAATACAAGTACAAGAAAACGACAGAGAATTCTTATACAATCTTAATACACAGATAGAAAGCCATCAAGAACTATGATCTCCGTCAAAAAGGGGAACAGAAAAATCAGGAGATATACTACACCCACCACCCAATGGGACTGTGACAATCAAGAGAAATAGACAAACATGTTGTCATATAGCCTTATATTCCAATAAAAAGAAATTACTGGAGTGGATATAGAATAACAATTGTATTTTCAAAGATCCTAAGAATATCACAGTACATATAATAAAGTATCCAGCTACTAATAAGATGACCAGGATTTCCCCTTGTGCTCAACAATATGCATAATATCCATAACAGTATGGTGAGCCCTTTCCATTAATGTTATAGCTTCCATGCTGTAAAGCACCTGGACTGGGATACAGAGGGAAATCTCCAATTAAGGGCAATAGACCAATGAATGGCGCTGAATAATGTGTGCAACAATTTGTCAGGGGGGTGATACCTGTGGCAACAAGTAAAAAATAAACTGATCTGATGGGTCAGTGTTATCTCTATGCCAGTAATATGTTACTTTTACAGACTCCTGTTGCCATAACAGACAGAGAGCCCTGCAACTTCAAAAAATATGGAGTTGTGTAAATCTGTCCTGGCACCCCTGGAAGCACATCTCAGGTACTGAGATGATCTTTTCCCTAGATGCCAAACCACACGATAGCTCAAATACCAATCCTAAACTCTCTCCTTCAGAGAGATAATGGGTAGAAAAAATGTGTAATCTGCAATGTGTACGGTAATTTATAAAATTCAGAGTGGGGGAGGGCATAGTGTTGTTGAAAAAAAACGTAAATGAGCTGAAGGGTGATTCTTGTGAAAGAGACTCTAACTTTACTAAACCACTATCCACCCCTCTAGAAAACTCTGCCTTAGAAGTATATGCTGGGGTTCTCCTAATGTGGGTTCTAGGCTAATCAGGGAGACAAAGGCAATAAGTTATATTTTTCCTTATAAAGAGACCATAAGTGAACGGATTGACACACTACCTCATTTATTGGAGTGAACATTCATTGTATATAAAAAATTCTTAAAGAGGCAGAGCCACACATTTATTTGGTTATTATATGACTGACTGATCTGGTGTGAAACAGTTTGTGAAGGCAGTGGCCCTGGGGAATTCATTTATTTATAATTGCACGGACACTTTATTTGAATTTTATAGGTCCAATATTTGTGCACATTATACTCCAGGCAGCGTGCTAGTTTACTTCTCACATCATATACAGTATATTTAACCTTATTTTTCTCCCTTTTTAAAATCTGGGCATAGAAAATGAGAATCTGGAAAAAGAAATAGGTGGCATTCCTTTCATACTGAAGAGCTAATTTTGATCCCGTGCTGATTATTGTGGGTTAAATAAGATTATGGTAAAGAAAACATACCCTCTGTCACTGATTGCAATTTTGACTTTACACAAAGGGTAACTTAACCCCTTGATGCCGACGTCACACAAATATGTGGCCTCATTGAACTGGGCTTCTTTCTGTGGGGCTGCATATTTGCATACCTGTCTTTGTGCTGGGAGCGCACTGCACTGATATCACTGGTGTCACTGATATCCCTGGGTCCCATTCTAACGATCGGGACCCGGGACTCCTGATTCCATATCACATGATCGTTGTGATAGCCTCTGATTGGCTATCACAGTGATCAGTCACTGTGCAGCCCAGCCCCCTTGTTTTTTTCTCTCTCTGTGAATGGAGAAGAGAGATACAATGTATCTCTCTAACTCCTGACATAGAAAGAAAAAAAAATGTTTGTAAAAAAAAAAAAGAAAAGATAAATAAATAGATATTAAAAAATAAAATAAAAAAATAAAGAAAAAATATCTAGATCAAGGTTTGATCTAGTTCAGTGCCAGGGTTATTGTTTGGGTCAAGATCAAGGTCAAATGTCAAGGTCAAAGGTCAGGATTTTTTAAAAAATTGGTATCAGTGTCAGTGTCAATGTCATTGTGTTTTAGGTAAAAAAAAAAAGACAAAAACAAAATGCGCACTATTGTTTCTGGGCTGTACTACGGGTACAAACAACAAATAACATACACGTACATGGTATTGGTGCGATCGTCAAGAGCTGCAGAATTTATTTTGGGTTGTTTTTGGTGGTAGGTTATGGTAGTAACAAGAAACACAGCTAAATAAAAAAAAATATATTTTTTTTACTATTTTGGGTCAGTTTTCCTTTGATAATACAAAAAATCAGGAGATACCCATTACCATTTAGCACCAAATGAAAGACCAATTTGTCCTGAAAACAACGCGGTATAATTCACCTGGATGTACAAAGTAGTTGTGATGATCTGTACGGTTTTATCAACACATGTCAACATTGCAAAATTGTGCTTAGGCATTAAGATTTGTTTTACCCTTAGGCAGGGGCGGACTGACCATTTGGAAACTCGGGCACTGCCCGAGGGCCCGGGGTCAGTAGGGGGCCCCATAAGATGCCCCTGGTACCTTTTTTTTCTTCTTCTTCATCCTCATCCTCATCCTCTTCTTCTTCTTCTTCATCCTCATCCTCTTCTTCTTCTTCATCCTCATCCTCTTCCTCTTTTTCTTCTTCTTCTTCATCCTCATCCTCTTCTTCATCCTCATTCTCTTCTTCTTCATTCTCTTCTTCTTCATCCTCATCCTCTTCTTCTTCTTCATCCTCATCCTCT